CACTAGAATTGCTATAACCAGAATAAGACTAACTGGTATTTTCTGTCCAGGAAAAATTTGGACCTGTAGTAGTGTTTCATCTGCTGAATGAACAGGTTTACATACACACAACTTCACTAAAACAAACTTGATAACCTGACCATAGCCAACCAGGAGGCACTTTAAATGCCAAAACATGAGGACCTTTAAGACTGGGATGGAGAATCAAGATGACATGATTGCAACAACAGCACAAAATAGCTGGCTAATAAAAAGGAATGATGACAGTGCCCATGCCTGGAAAAGGTTTGAAGCTAAAGGTACCTGAATACAAGGGAAAGAAAAGTTAAACAAAAATAAGGAATATAGGCTTTCCTATTATATAATATTGCTTGGTGGTTTTTTTAGACGAACAATTTCATGTTATACAGGTTTTTCCCAGAAGCTGAAAAAAAAAAAGTTTCATTGCTTCCAAAAGAAAGCAAATATAGTAAGTTGAAGACCTCTGAAAATGTGTTAATAAAATTTCTAGGGATAAAAATTAAACCACATAAGTCCCCTGAACCACGAGCATGAATTCCTAATCCTTTCTCTGAAAAGTCAGCACAGTACATCCGCTATAAAATCTACTAGTTGTTTGTACTGTCTTGTTTTCAGTTCCAATTAATCACTTCATTATATTTTCACTACTACCTGTGACTAGATGGGATTTTTCTCCCTTCCCCCCCACCTTTCAAACCAGGTATACTAAAACAAAGACCTAAACCTTGTAGCGTGAAAATAGCAGGGTAAGAACAAGCTGATCCAGCTTAACCAAGAGAACCAGAAAGAAAGTAACTGCACTCGTCCGAAAAATGGATGCACCATGCTTGTATTGAAACTTCTAATAAAATAGATGTGTATCTATGAATTTAAATTGTAAGAACATAAAACAACTTCATGGAACTTCACCTGCCACGTTACATAAAAGCTGCTTCTAGTGCTGCTATGTTTACCCATCACACACCAACTTTCAGTACCCATCTAAGTCTCACTCATCCTGCATTTTCACATTTTCATTTTTCTGTTCCCTTCAAACTACAAGCAATCCTCAGAAAGGGTACGTTAACAAAAACTTTCTGTCACAGGCTTTCTTTTTGTCTTTCTCAAAATTTTATTCATAATTCAGACTATTTTCTTAAGCAATTGCTAGCTGAATCTCAGTTCTACTGAAATAAACAGAAGCTTTGCCACTGAACTCAAAATGAGAGAGACAGGCAGAACCATACATAACAGCCTGTTAGCCTGGTCAGATGACCAAGACTGACTCTTTTGGGCTAATAGACTTACAACCCTATTCCTGCCAACATCATCTTACTCTGCAAGTGGGCTCTTCAAGGACTACTTACAGAACGAGACATCATAACACATGAACGCAGGCATCAGAACTTGACCGTGACGATAACATAAAGACTCAATTCACTAAAACATGCAAGCATATGCTAAATTTCCATTGAAGTCTATGGGTACTAAGTATATACTTAAGCGCTTTTGGAAGAGCTCTCTGAAGAATCTGCTGGAAGCTAATAATAAATTCTACGAAAACAGGAGTATCCCTGTGCTTTTCTGTGGGTGTTGCACCTCCCACAACAGTAGAATTCTTAGCACTTACTAGGAGGTATCCAGCACTGTGCTTGACTGCACCTCATAAAATCTGATTATGCTGTCACTACCATTTAAAGAAAGATTTAAATATATGAAAATAATCACCTAAAAACCTATTTTTCGTTCACCTTTTACAGTCAGGAAATATTAATTTACAATGATTAATAAATTTGGGAGACAAAGGAAAATAAATTTATTAGGCTTAAAATAATTCCAGTCATTGAATTTGCCCCCCAATCCTATGGGCAGAAGGCTAATTGCCAGCAGTGACTGCAGCACTAGCTGCAAGCATGGGATTTAGGCTGGCACTCTTATTAGAACTGAGGTAATTTTAAAGGAATGTCAGTACGCATTTACATTTTAAGCTTTATTGCTCTGCTTTAAGAGGAGAAAGAATGCCTGCTATTGTCATTGAAAAATATTTACAAAATCTTTGGAACCTGATTTTAATCCTATAGAACTGAAATCAAAACTCCTATCTCCTTACAATGTGTTGCTTTTATTAAAAAGTTATTAGAAAACCATGTTTAGTGAAAACATTACAGTTTTGAGAAGAGAAATGCAACCACTCTTCACTCTAGACAAAGTTTAAGGCTACTGTTGAGTTAGAAGGAGCTACATGCAGACTGCTTTGCAAGCTATGAAGTTACGAATCTGGCTGCCTTCAGCATCCAAGCCTTCCAAAACCCAGTTTCATCTGAACACTTGAGTTCCTACCATGGAGAGCCACAAACGGATGAATATCTCAAGCTAATGATATCTACATCAGTTGCAGAACTTTAATCCTAAACCAGAGGCCTCATTCTCACTCTCCTGCTCACAGATTGTGTTCTACCAAAAGGAGAGGGGGAAATTCAGTGTAACCTATTTTCAAATAATCTTTATTTCTCTTTAAAGAATAGGAGGATGGAAACTGCCTTGGTGGCAGCGGCCCTGTTCTCACAGCACAGCGGCCTTTCAAAATCACCTCTTTGTGTTTGTTCCCTGAAGGCTTTCCAAAATCATCTCTAATAGAGATATATTGTACTATTATATAAATCTCAGTGAAAAACTGCAGAAGCTGAGCAGAATAAAGCAGCAAAAATTGAATCACGTGGGGAAGTAAAGATGTAATTTATTCTTAGCTTCACAAATAGCAAGCAACAGAAAAAAGACTGAGTTTCCATGTTTCTTCTCATACTAAACCATATGCCTTTAGGAACATGGAAGTAATAACTGCATTAATGATGAAAATAAAAACTCATCATGTCCAATGTAAAAGCAGTTCTAACAGCAAATTAGTCATATTCCAGAAGGTATGATTTACTGTATGAAATTCATAATAGTTACCCAAATGAAGTAACAACACTTTATTTGCCCTGTCCCTTCCTCCTCTGTCTGATGCCTGACCACGACAATCACTGCAGCCGGGAAGGCATAGTACTTTGATGGCAGTGCCTTTCAGCCCTTGTTTTCTCATACAAAGCTTCCAAGACAATGCCGTTTTGAGATATACACCTGTCAACTGGCAAGAAGCACGAGAACACCGACTCATTTTAAGCTGTCTAAAATGGGGCTATCACATGGCAATATCTTTCAATCTCTACAAAACCTTCTTCCAAACTGAAATAGCTACCAAGAGGTGAAGAATTCCATATCACATTTCTAACGCCCATAACAGCTAGCCTTCTTTGTAAAAATATTTTTGACAACTATTCATATAAATTATCCTTATCTTACGAATCTTCCCCACCTGAAAATGTTCCCCAGATCATTTTGTTCTGACTTCTGTCTAGCAAAGATCTTTACAAAGCTTGTGAGAAACATTCTATCACTCATCATCTATTTCACAAAACATATTTCTTAAAAATAAAGGTCGAGTAATAATTGGTATAATGTGGAGCTCTAGTGGTAATGGGAAAGTAAAGCAGCATGTAACACCAACTGCGAAACAGTTACCGAGACTGACCTTTAGTCTGAAGACAGCAAGTTTTCAGTGAAAATTTTACAATAAATGAACTTCAATGATTATTAAAAGTGAGATAGCTTGGAAACAAACTCAGTGGTGTTTCAGGCTCACTGTATACATCTTTGCATATAGGTTGATGAGCAACCCTCATTCTTAGTGCACAAACTTGAATTTTATCATGTATTCCAGTTAAGCAAAAGAAAAATAAAAACATTGTACGTTCGTGTTAGCCTGAAAGGATAGAAGAAAGTGGAGTAATTCTAAGCATTCATTTAAAGCAGTCCTAATCCAAGAAATATATTGTCCTTTTCATGCTAGCCATAGAAATACCTATTCCAGCCAGTAAAGCACTCTGCTCTCAGTTGTATTATCAGCAAAATACCAACCACTGGAGTCAGTTTTAACACTAAGAATCAGTAGCCCTTTCAGGCTGTCGAGTTTGGCAGGAGTTAAACCCTTAACTAGAAGGGATCCTTCCTTATATACATAGTACTATCACACATCCTATTACCAAACATTATTATTAGCTTAATTCTTCTTGGACATCAGTATTCCACCTGTGAAGGAAATGTTTTTCATATGGCCATAGTGGTAGGATGCGTAAAGCATACTGTATGTCCATCATGCTTCATCACACAGAGGATGCTAGAATTACTGCATCACCCAGGGAAACATTAGCATTATTTTTTTAATTTTTAAGATACCATTTTGAACTTGGGTACATAGTAGCAGAAGTTTATATAGCTAAAATAGTATTGAACAATTATTTGACTGCCAAAAGAATCACCAAAAAATAAAGCGCAGTGTTACATGCGTGTCAAAATCACTGATCCCAGCAGGGTCCATTTCCAAAGTCAAGCAACGTCACTGGCTGTGTAAATAAAAATAGTTTTGAACCCTCAATATGAAACTTACAGTCCCTTCCTAGAAATGCTGCTTTTATCCATGAGAACAAAAAAAAGGAGACAGTACCAAAAAAGCCCTTGTAAATACTACTGCAGACTTAAATAAATGGACTCTCCATTTATTTTAATTCACTTCAAATTATTTAATACTTTCAACAGTGATTTTTATTCCACTTCCCAAAATGACTGCACAATGCCTTGATTCAGTGTCACACCATTTAAGACAGAATATACTACTTCTTGCTAGCACAGATCGTAACTTCATAAGTGTTACTTTCTAAGCACCTCCCAGTCTAACTGAGGTTTCTGCTACTGTTAATTCCAATTCAGTGCTACAGGGCAAACAGGATAAAATTCTGGGCTTTACACCTTTTCCACTCAAGGTATACTTATTCATAGGAAAGGCATCCCCTTGATCTAACTTGTATTTTTTATTACCTATGTTTGAAAGACACAGGATACCAAAATCCAAAGAGTCATAAAACCTCCTACTGATGAGGAGATTGCCAAGTTGCGTCTGTTACCTGGTGGGCAGTTGCACTCTGGAGGCACTTCTCTCGCTACTCTTATTTTCGCCAAATGCTCATAGGATTTCTGTGAGTGAAAAAGGCAACATAAAGGAACTTGGTAAGCTCAGGCCATTAGAGCCAGCATTACAGAACTGCATGACTGTAAACTGTGATTTACAACTCTTTCATAGACTGCATAACTAGTGATGAGTTCTTTACTTGGACTGGACCCAAAGCGTATCAGTGACTTCTCCACCCCCACAACCACGACCCCCCCCCCCCCCCCCCCGCGAACACACACACACACACACACACGCATGCACGGTGCTCGGCGCGGGGAATAAATGTAGAGGGACGGAGGCTCGGCCACGTCTGCAAGTCACGGACGAGAAAACGGTCAACCGCTTCGACGTGAAGGTCAACCGCTCCG